TCAGTACTATCAACCATACTACTGCTGATGGACAAACCCAACCCTGATGACCCTCTCATGGCAGACATTGTAAGTTATAAACCTCAGTTACAACTGTTTGTAAAATTGTATTGATATTCCTGCTAGTACAGAAAAATCATCAGGATTGACTGTGGAAACCTCATTTAGCAGGGATATTGTGGACTAGTTTTACCACATTTAGGGCTATTAGTTGATTATTGCTAAGAGGGAGGCAGTGTTCAGACAGGGGGGGCATAGATTATTCAAAATGCACTATTAATAGGGGATACATTAGGGGATACAATAAACCCATTATCCATGAGTTTGTTGTTTGTTGTGGACTGTACAGTTATATCAAACAATCTTAAGATCAATCCAAAGAGGTAATTTGGTGAATATTTGTATAGCAAGACTTTTTGGAGTACCTGTAGAAGGCTTTAGGGGGGTAGGGTGGGTCCCCTATTAACATTGATCAGCAACCAGCCATTATGACATAAATATGAGAACAGCATGGCACTACRATTTACATGATATAGAAAGGAAAGTTATAGTAGCCCAGCTGGTAGAGCATCGGTAATACTAATCTAAGGGTCATGGGTTCGAACTCCAGCAAGATCTGAAATTACTTAATTTTTCTGAATTTATTTCCAAGTGTCTTTCTCCCGGAATAACCTCCTTCTCARCACTTTAACTTTCCTTTATTTSTTWATCATTATGACATGATCTTTCAAAACAAAGATCAASCAATTAATATTTTTTATTACAATGTAATAAGTTTGATAAATTTATAGTTAATAATTTCAACTCTTTCTCTCTCCAGTCCCATGAATTTCGTTATAATCATTCACAATATGTTAAAAAGGCAAAGGAGTGGACTCTAAAATATGCTACTGAAAATATGATAACACAAAACAGTACAAGAAAGGATGAGAAGGTACATTTCTACATCTTTACTCGTTTTCTCCTGTTTTTTCTATTTTTTAATGATTAGAAAGGGATAAGGACCTTTTTATGAAATCTATAACGTCTGATGATGAAAGTGATGATGGTGATGATGATGATAATGATGATGGTGATGATGATAATGATAATAATAATAATGATGATGATAATGATGATAGTGATGATGGTGATGATGAGGATAATGATGATGATGATAGTGATGATGGTGGTGATAATGATAATAATAATAATGATGATGATAGTGAGGATGGTGATGATGATGATGATAATGATGATAACTTCTAAACTATGACTTAAAAATTAAGGCTTGAAATTAGGATATCAGGTCACTCTGGCCCCATGAAAACTCCTTTCCGACGGCGATAGAATGACTGGCAATGTGTATTACGGTATTGGAGTATACCTCGAGTAGAAATCAGCTTTTTCTGAAAGAGTTATATATTCTACAATTATAGGAATCAAATAATAACAATATGAATACAACTTCTCAAGACAGTAGTTCATCTGACAGTGATTCAAACAGTGATTCAGAAGAAATGGAGACGTCTTTSAAAGGGAAAAAAAGACTTTCGACCGACCAGCCATCGACATCAGGAAYAAARCCAAACAAAATCCCTAAACTATAGMATATGTAGATAAATGTAGTGCTGTAATCGTACACAGCCAAACAAATCTCAGAGGTATGGATATGATACTTATAATGTTAAAGGACTATWTGGTGAAAATTGTCAGACATTGGAAAAGGCTTGAACTCTGTCTATGTCGTCTATAAATCATGAAGAAGTCGTATTTYAATACGATGTTCAATCGTTGACAAAATACGTTGGACTGTGACATTTTTTTTATACAGCGTTTATAACTCTGTATCTAATGTATCACGAAAACGATCTAAAGGCCTCCTCCTCTAAGAATCACGGGCTTCCTGTCTTCTTTGGGAGTCAAAAGAGGGAGAATGGGGGCGAGAGAGGGGATTTTCCTTTCTCGTCACTAGTCTCTAGCGGACAAGATGACCGTTATAAAGGAAGCCCAAAGGAGGAAAAAAGAGTTGCCTGGGGTGGAGTCTAGCGACGATCGTATCTCACTTACATCTCAGACCATACTTTAACAATGTAACTAGGGTTCGTGCTACTCCTTTAAATTCTTGAAAAGTCCTGAAATAGTCTCCTTCACGGTTACCTGCGCCATCTTGAAAGGTAGCCGTGCCTTTACATCGAAGCGAGACAACCGTTGAGCGTGCAATGATAGAAACCTGTGAATAATTGTTTGTAGGTGTGAAAGAAGGTTTCTATCATTGCACGCTCAACGGGTGTCTCACTTCGATTCAAAGGCACGGCTACCTTTCAAGATGGCGCAGGTAACCGTGAAGGAGACTATTGAAAACTCTTTTTTGGAAATGGGGAAAATCGCTAAAACTCCTGGAAATCTTGAATCTGATGAAATTGGCATGTTGCTTTTTAGCTTTTGGATTGTTATATGGCTATTTTTGAAAATCGCCACTTGAAACGTTCGCAAACATCTAAAAATATCTTCTAAAGTAGTCCTTGAAAATCGCATTTTTGTGCTTAAAAAGTACTTGAAAATTAAAGTCCTAGAATTTTGTAGTAAAAATGTACCACGAACTCTGTAAACATATAATCGAAATATAATTGTTTAAATTTCCTGTAAAAAAGTAATAATTATGAAATAAAGTTTTATGGTTTCTCACGTAAGCATTTAAAAGTGGATTAAACGTATGAAGTTATACTTTAGCAACATAATGCGTATATAAGGATAGTATCAAATGAAGCCTTGGATGCTATTTTGTCGGAAATCTTCATTCCCTGACGATGCTGAAGACAGCGATAGCTTGGAATCATAGAGTTTATAAGATCTTACAAATAGCAGTCAAAGTGCTTCATTTGATACCTTACTTGAAAGTGAATTGTTATTTACTAAATATTGCCAAAGTAGCGATTAATGTAGTAGACAAAGGTGACCTGGATTGCTTTGGTTTACCTGTGGCATTAGCATCACGTGGGGKKKTWGRRRARRMSGRRRARRGG